TGGAGCACGAGGCAGGAGCGGACGTGCGACTGGTCCGTCAGATCAGCGCGGGTATGAAGATCCAGGCCACGGGAGAGCACGTGGGCTGCAGCAAGGTCGGGGAAAATCAGGAGAACCAGGTCATATGTGTGCAGTGTCAAGAGGAGGTGGTGCGGGTCTGTCCAGGAAGCCCGCACAGTCCTCACCGCGCCTCTCCTCCATAGGGCTGGTCACGGCGCTCGCTAATCGCTCCAATAACAGCTGCTTCCTCCACAGAAATGCAGACTTTTACTGCACAGCAGCTGTTGTGCAGTAAAAGTCTGCATTTCAGCTGGCAGCTGTTGTGCATGCTAGCAGCAACGCTGAACATGCTATCAGCAACGCTTGCAATTAGTTATCCATGTTGAAATGAATCGCTGGTCGCCCTGCCTGTTTGTTTTCTTCCGGGTACGGGTCACGTGATAGTGAGTGTGACGAAACAGGGACGGAGACGTCATGGCTTCTAATAACCAATCCAGTAGCGAACACGGGTGTGGGCTCACTTTTTCTAACACACATCCATATCCGACCGTCCACACTCAACCAAATCCCTGGAGTTTTCAAACACCTCCAACCTCGGTGGAGTTTTCAGACTCCTCCGTTTAGGGTGCTCCAGAACTCCGGCGTGGTGTGGCCGCTCAGTGTAAACGTAGCAAAAACGTAGTAAAAAGTAGTATGGTTACAATCTACAACATCATCGCCAGATGTCAGCGGACCAAAATCAAACAACCACACTTAACAGGTGCATTCTGGGTCTCGCTAACATGTTAAATGCTAAAATGCGCACGGTGGGATCCTCTTAGCCTGACTTCTGTGTTCACTGAGGAACTTCTACCTATGGTGAGGTTTGTGAGACCTGTCTGTCTGTTTGTTGACAAACAAATATGCAGTTTCTTGTCCAGAAAAACAAAAATCACACAGATCGTTCTCTAACCATTTTGGTTTATTTCCACCATTTTCTATCTTTGCAATAACAATGAAACTGTGTTAATGGTGTTTAACTTTGTTGTCTTTTTACATGACTTTTCCCTGAAGTTCCTTCCATAAAGTACAAGAGCAGTAGAGGCCACAGGGCGCTATTGATTTCAAATGTCAGGCACAGTGGAATGAAGGAAGAGGAGTTAAAGTGACTGTTTTCGGATGCATAAATTCAGAAGTCATCATCTTCAGCTCGCTCAATCTTCCTGACACTCCCAAAATACTTGCACGCACACTTAATAGGGATACATTATGTTGTCTGGCATCCAGACAATGATTCAAATTCACAGAATGAGCAACACCACGGAGGAAATTAGCAGACCTTTAACGGGTGACCACTCTGGGTCTTGCATATTGATTTGCACATTAATTCCAACATACAATTGAGTAGAATAGTTTCCCCAAATGATCTTAGCATAAGTATTAGCCTCCTCCTGCTGAGTGTGTTTACATGCAATGTGTTTATCATAGCTGTCATTCTTTATTCCTGACTACTAAGTCAAAAGAGTATTTTGTAATAGATCTAAAGTGCACATGCCTCAGTAGTCTTGCTCTCTCTCGTCCATTTGAAAATGAAATCTGGCACGTTCAATAGCATCTTATGGTGTCTCTAAGCATGTAAACACACTCGCTGTAGGATTAAGTTGCTTAGAGTCCTTTGATTCTTCTCTGGGAGAATTGAAGTCGACCTGTGAGTTTCTTTTACTCACGGCGTGCAGGGAACTTACAGCTTTCTGACAGCAGATATCCTGAGAGAAACAGGCTGGGTGATTATGCAGAGAAGTGGTTTGTGAGTGTGCGTCGTTGTCCTGTATGTGTTGCACCACTGTCTTACTATTGCGTGTTTAAACTTGGCATGATGCATGTACAATGCATGTTCTGCAACCGGTGTGTGCATGTATGTGTACGCCCTATGACGTGAACATTTGGCTGGACTGTTGTGTGACACGAATGAAGGTGGTTCTCCTGCTCAGCTCTTTGAGCTTCGCGGCGCCCACGTAGGTGCAGGTGGAGCGGAGGCCACCCAACACGTCAAGGATGGTGTTCTCCACGTCTCCTCTATAAGGAACCTCCACTGTCCTTCCCTCAGACGCCCTGAGAGCAGAGCAGAGAGAGGAGAAAGCAGGAATATGGATGTTTTGTAGTTATCATGGACCATCTGAGTTATTCAACTGAATATGAATGAAAAGTTCTATTAAGGGTAATAATAGTAATCCTCGAAAGCATACTGATCGCCATCAGCCTCTTACCTATACTCAGCAACTCCACCCACGTATTTCTTCATGGCTGTGTCGGAGCTCATGCCATAGAAGAGTTTGTATTTCTTGCCGTTCTTCTCAATGACCTCTCCGACGCACTGGTCGTGGCCCGCAAGCATTCCCCCCATCATCACAAAGTCAGCGCCTGCACCTGAGGAGCAGAGGCAGAGAAGCCATGTTGGTT